TCTACCATCCAGTGTCTACCATCTAGTGTCCACCATCTAGTGTCTACCATCCAGTGTCTACCATCTACTGTCTACCATCTAGTGTCTACCATCCACCGTCCACCATCCAGTGTCTACCATCCAGTGTCTACCATCCAGTGCCCACCATCCACTGTCCACCATCTAGTGTCTACCATCTAGTGTCTCCACCATGTCCACCATCTACTCCACCATCCAGTGTCTACCATCCAGTGTCTACCATCCACTCCACCATCCAGCGTTCCACCACTGTTCACCATCCAGTGTCTACCATCCAGTGTCTACCATCCAGTCTCACTCCAGCGTTCACCATCCACTGTCTACCATCCAGTGTTCACCATCCAGTGTCTCCACCATCTAGTGTCTACCATCTACCGTCTACCATCTACTGTCCACCATCTAGTGTCTACCATCCAGTCCACCATCTACCGTCTACCATCTAGTGTCTACCATCTACTGTCTACCATCTAGTGTCCCCATCTAGTGTCCACCATCTAGTGTCCACCATCCAGTGTCTACCATCCATCGGTCCACCATCCACACTGTCCACCATCCAGTGTCTACCATCCAGTGTCCACCATCTACTGTCCACCATCCAGTTCACCATCCATCATTCACCATCCAGTTCACCATCCAGTGTCCACCATCCAGTGTCTACCATCCAGTGCTCACCATCTACTGTCTCACCATCTATGTCTACCATCTAGTGTCCACCATCCAGTGTCTACCATCTCATCGTTCACCATCCACTGCCATCTGTCCACCATCTAGTGTCTACCATCCACCGTTCACCATCCAGTGTCCACCATCCACTGTCTCACCATCTAGTGTCTACCATCTACTGTCTACCATCTAGTTCACCATCCACTGTCTACCATCTAGTGTCTACCATCTAGTGTCTACCATCCAGTGTCTACCATCTATGTCTACCATCTAGTGTCCTACCATCCAGCGTCCACCATCCAGTGTCCACCATCCACCCATCCAGCAGTCCACCATCCAGTCCCACCATCCACCGTCCACCATCCACTGTCCACCATCCAGCACCACCATCCAGTGTCCACTGCCACCATCCACTGTCCACCATCCACTGGTCCACCATCCAGCGTCCACCATCCAGTGTCCACATCCACTGTCTCACCATCTAGTGTCTACCCATCCACTGTCCCATCTATGTCTACCATCCATGTCTCACCTCAATCTGTGCCCACCATCCAGTGTCCACCATCCAGTGTCTACCATCCACTGTCCACCATCCATGTCTACCATCTCACTGTCCACCATCTAATGGTTCACCATCTACTGTCCACCATCCAGTGTCTACCATCTAGTGTCCACCATCCAACGTCCACCATCCAGTGTCCACCATCCAGAGTTCACATCCACTGTCCACCATCCAGTGTCCACCATCCAGCAGTCCACCATCCACCTGTCCACCATCCAGGTTCACCATCCATCCCACCATCCAGTGTCCACCATCCAGCTGTCCACCATCCACTGTCCACCATCCACTGTCCCACCATCCAGTGTCCACCATCCACAGTCCACCATCCAGCGTCCACCATCCATCAGTCCCACCATCCAGTGTCTACCATCCAGTGTCTGACCATCTAGTGTCTCCATCCAGTGTCTACCATCTAGTGTCCACCATCTACTGTCTACCATCCAGTCTTACCATCCAGTGTCCACCATCTGTGCCCACCACTGGTTCACCATCTACTGTCTACCATCTACTGTCCACCATCTAGTGTCTACCATCTAGTGTCTACCATCTCACCGTCCACCATCCACTGTCCACCATCCACCATCTACCGTCCACCATCCACTGTCCACCATCCACTGTCCACCATCCAAGTCTGCCCCATCCAGTGTCCATCCAACGTCTACCATCCACTGTCCACCATCCACCATCCACTGTCCACCAGTGTCTACCATCCACTGGTCACCATCCAGTGTCTACCATCCAGTGTCTACCATCCACGTCCACCATCCAGTGTCTACCATCTACTGTCTACCATCCAGTGCCACCATCCATCAGTCCACCATCCACTGTCTACCATCCTTGTTCACCATCAGTGTCACCATCCAGTGTCTACCATCTACTGTCTACCATCACTGTCCACCATCTAGTGTCTACCATCCACTGTCTACCATCAGCACCATCCACTGTCCACCATCCAGCCCATCCAGTCTGCCATCCTACCCATCCAGCGTCTACCATCCAGTCTACCATCCACTGTCTGACCATCCAGTGTCTACCATCCATGTCCACCATCCAAGTCTACCATCCACTGTCCACCATCCAGTGTCCACCATCCACCCTGTCCACCATCCATCGTCCACCATCCAGTGCCCACCGTCCATTTCATCTACCATCCATGTCCAACCAGTGCGTCCACCATCCACGTCTACCATCTACCGTCTACCATCCAGTGTCTACCATCCAGTGTCTACCATCTAGTGTCTACCATCCACCGTTCACCATCTAGTGTCTACCATCTACTGTCCACCATCCACTGTTCACCATCTAGTGTCTACCATCTAGTGTCTACCATCTAGTGTCTACCATCCAGTGTCTACCATCTAGTGTTCACATCCACTGTCTACCATCCACTGTCCACCATCCACTGTCCACCATCCATCTTCCACCATCCATGTCCACCATCCACTGTCCACCACCAGTGTCCACCATCCACGTCCACCATCCAGCGTCCACCATCCACCATCTACCGTCCACCATCCACTGTCCACCATCCACTGTCTACACCCATCTACGCCACCATCTAGTGTCTACCATCTAGTGTCTACCATCCAGCTCTCATCCAGTGTCTACCATCCATCGTCTACCATCCAAGTCCACCATCCAGTGTCCACCATCTCACCATCTAGTGTCTACCATCCAGTGTCTACCATCTAGTGTCTACCATCCACTGTCTACCATCCATCATTCACCATCTACTGTCTACCATCTAGTGTCCACCATCCAGTGTCTACCATCTAGTGTCACCATCTACTGTCTACCATCTAGTGTCTACCATCCAGTGTCCACCATCCAGTCCAACCATCCACTGTCCACCATCCAGTCCACCATCCACCATCCACTGTCCACCATCCAGTGTCCACCATCCAGCCACCATCCACCGTCCACCATCCAGTTCACCATCCAGCGTCTACCATCCACCGTCCCATCCACTGTCACCATCCACTGTCCACCATCCACCGTCCACCATCCATCAGTCTCACCATCCACTGTCCACCATCCACTGTCCACCATCCAGTGTCCACCATCTCACTGTCTACCATCCACTGTCTACCATCTACTGTCCACCATCCACTGTCTACCATCCATCAGCCTACCATCTAGGTCTACCATCTAGTGCTCACCATCCACTGTCTACCATCTACTGTCTACCATCTACTGTCCACCATCTACTGTCTACCATCCAGTGTCTACCATCTACTGTCCACCATCAGTGTCTACCATCTACTGTCCACCATCCAGTCCACCATCTACTGTCTACCATCCAGTCTACCATCCACTCACTGTCCACCATCCATGTCTACCATCTAGTGTCTACCATCTAGTGTCTACCATCCAGTGTCTACCATCCAGTGTCCACCATCCAGTCCTCCATCCAGTGTCTACCATCAAGTCTACCATCTACTGTCCACCATCCAGTGTCTACCATCCAGAGTTCACCATCTACTGTCTACCATCTACTGTCTACCATCTAGTGTCTACCATCTACTGTCTACCATCTGACCACCATCTACTGTCTACCATCTAGTGTCTACCATCTAGTGTCTACCATCTAGTGTCTACCATCCACCGTTCACATCTACTGTCTACCATCTAGTGTCTACCATCTACTGTCTACCATCTACTGTCCACCATCTAGTGTCTACCATCCATCATCATCACCATCAATCTACATCAGGTCTACCATCCTGTCTACCATCTAGTGTCTACCATCTAGTGTCTACCATCTAGTGTCTACCATCCACCATCCACTCCATCATCTATCACCTACAAACAATCTAAAACTTTGAATCTACTTTAATTCCTCAAACAACAAACAATCCCATCAAAACATTTCAATCATGATTTTCATCTGAGCCACACACACACACACACACACACACACACACACACACACACACACACACACACACACACACAATACACACACACAAATTATTCACACCACAACATAAAACTCCGCACAAAAACACACACACACACACACACACAAAATTATTCCACATCTCCAACAAATACACAAACATTTAAAACCTGCACAAACACACACACACACACACACACACACACACACACACACACACACACACACACAAACACACCCATATATATATATAAAGTTAAAGAAGCTTAAGAGTCAAATACCAAAGTTCCCCCTGCAGAAAATAGCAAGAGAACGAGATTACCCGATGTAAGTTTCCGTGTGGGAGGAGGACGGGGAGAAGGACCATTACTAACATATCTTAACTCCCCGGCGGAAGTGGCCCACGCCGTCCAATAAAGGAATAAAAGTAAGGAAAGATGTAATAAAGATGGAACCGGAGAAGGCCAAGGTCCAATAAAAGAATAAAAGTTAAAAAGAGGAAAATGTGATAAGGAAGAATCTGGTGAACACGGCAGACACAAGTTTTCCCGGGAAAGACTTAAGAGGGCGAGATTACCGGGGTGAGACGGGAGTAGACGCAAAGGTAGTGGGTAAGGTAAAAGTTACAGTAGAGTCTAAGACGTAGTTGTGGTAGAGTTTAGGGTAAGAGGTGCGGTAGTGTGTCGTGGAGAGTCTTAAGTTAGAGCAACACGAGTCTAATGTTTACATGAGTCAGCAGTTTAAGAGACCCGGTCACAAAGAATCAGTAGACATACTCATGTAATCACCTCCTCCAGCGACTGACTGCTGCAGGTGCCGAGGGAGAATACTGTTAAACGTAGAGGATGAGTGACTTACCTGAGAACGAGGACGAGGGCCGGAAGGTTGCCTGGAGGGTGGAGGTAGAGAGGGGCGTGGATGGTGGTGCCGGGGTGGAGGGGGGCACGGGGCACCAGTACGTGCACCAGGGGATCGGAGGACAGCTCTGTAGCCGTGAGGGTCGAGGGTCAGCACCACCTCCCCTACAGGTGTCTCTGGCTGCACCGTCACTCTGGGGCCGACCTGGGCAGGGCCCCCGGCGTCTCTAGATGCGCATTCACTGGGTCCTGGAGCCGTCCCCACCAGGTACGACACCTGCACGGCCACGCGGGGGATCTTGACGGTTGCACGGGTGTGTGGCGGCCACCAGCGGGCGGGTACGGCCAGGGTTACGAGGCACGTAGCATCACCGCCCGTTTCGCCAGCTCCCGTAGGTGTACATGAGGCGGAGAGAGCGTCGGGACCGCGGCGGGTAATGACGGTGACACAGACGTGAGGGGAGTGGTGACCTCTAGCCCCAGCACCGTGCACCAGGACACGTACTGCGGGGTGGGCACGAGTCACCTCCTTGTTGACCAGATGGGCGGACACTTCCAGCTGGTGGGGCACGGAGGGCAAGTGCTGGCCCAGCCCTTCCATCTCTGTCACGTTGGTCGGTTCGTCGTCGGGAAATTCGGGAAGGACATAGCGGGCGGGCACCGTCTGCTTGGTGCTGAAGGGGCCATAGGTGGCACGGATGAGGGCTGGTCGCGTAGGGTCGAGTACCGTGAAACGCTCCACGTCCAGCACCCCACCCTCAGTCTCCACCCCGGGACCCAAGCCTGAGAACACGTTCTCTTCCGGCCGCAGGAAGAACCCGCTGTCAGGGTTCTGGAAGTGCAGATCGACGGCGCTGGCGGCTATGGGAGAGAAACAGAGATGTATTAGAGTAGCTCATACACATTAATTATATCCCTCAACCACTACACCCAAACTACTGTCACCCATTACATCCAGTGTTTTTCCCTAGAGAGAGCAAAAAGATATTTCGCTTTTGATCTGTGAATTCAGTACACCGGTACACCTCTTACCTCACCCCCTCCCTCCCTACCCCTCACTGATTGGTAAACTTTCCCACACTCCTCCACCATCTCAACCTCCCTCTCGCCCTACTTCCCACCCTCGTCCCTGGAGTTCCCCTGCGTGACCGTTAACGGAGCTCCGCGTGCCGGCCGATGACCACCACCGTTAACGGAGCTCCGCGTGCCGGCCGATGACCACCACTGGCCACCACCATGTTAGATTATTGATCACAGTAAAAACACGCACGCAGGCAAGCAGGAAGGCAGGCACAGAGGGAGGAGCTCACACGCATACCGCCACACAACCTTGCATGCTTCCACAACACACAGCGACACATACCTCCACAACACACAGTGACACATACCTCCACAACACACAGTGACACATACCTCCACAACACAGCGACACATACCTCCACAACACACAGTGACACATACCTCCACAACACAGCGACACATACCTCCACAACACAGTGACACATACCTCCACAACACAGTGACACATACCTCCACAACACAGTGACACATACCTCCACAACACACAGTGACACATACCCTCTCCCGCGTCCCCAACTAAGGCCTTGCCGAGACCAACACACCCAGTGAGAGGAACACATTTAACAGCTCCTCCTGACGGCACAGCAAAGGACCTGTGTGACCCACTGGTGGCTCACGTGAATTAACCCCCTCAAACACACACACACACACACACACACACACTTGGTCCTCTCTAGGTTACAATATTGGACAGTGTGTGTGTGTGTGTGTGTGTGTGTGTGTGTGTGTGTGTGTGTGTGTGTGTGTGTGTGTGTGTGATGAACAACAGTTGACCAATAAATGAAGACTAAGACGTCGACGAGTAACAAAGTCTTAAGAAAGTTACTGTGACTCGGACACTTCCATATCATGTTCCTCAAAAAGCGGCTCCAGGACAAGCACATAACATTACTTGGTGTTTCTCAATGTCTCACAATAACATCCCGGAAACACAGTCGTCCCCTATCACACACAGCCCTGCAATGGCACCCTAATGGAACTTACGTCAGACGGATGTTCGCTCCTACCATCCCGCAATGAGACCCTAATGGAAGTTACGCAAGAGGAAACGTTCGCCCGACTTGTGCCTGCAGTGGCGCGCCTCTTTTATGGCAGGAACATTAGGTCCAAGTCTCGTTAATGTTTTTATAGGCGGTGTGTCACAAGTTGGGCAACGCTGTGGCCGCCAGAGCCCAACTTGTTCGCCTTTACTTGATGGTCGTGTGATGACGTCTGTGTTGTTTACCGCAGTGACCCCGACACATTACACACACACACAGACACACACACACACACACACACACACACACACACACACAGCTTGTAACATTTATTGAATAACATTTTTTTTTTTGTAGTGGACATGAACCAACTTGACCTGATAGTGCCTCTTCCTATCTCACATCAGCTACATCAATTTGACCTCGTGTGTGTTCATCCTCTCTCCTGGTGTTTTTGTTTTTCTACTGGATGATTTTTTTTATATAATTCTAAAGGACTTTTTTTTATATTTTCACTGGGAACGTTTTTTTTCTGGAGGAAGTTTGATGCTTATGAAGGAGAGGGAACATACCCACATAAACACACACACACATCACTACTAATACTACTGTTTTGCCTGAGGTGTCTCGACAGGGCCGTCCGCAGATGTTGCATATGTAGAGGGCTACATCTAGTGCGGGAGGGGTGGCCGCACTCACTCACTTACTCACAATCTGTATCAGTTTGTCTTTACAGTAAGTCCAAACTCTGTACTGACTGACGTAAAACCTGAGTCAGTGTGTCTCTGAGCTGATTGACTCAAAACCCGAGTCAGCAGGTCCTTACAGCAACTTGGTGGTTGGAAGGCTGGCGAATTTTTGTGTTATTGTTGCAGTGGACAAAAATGCAAATGTGGGTCGACAGTTTCAGATATGAGTGGGCACACACACACACACACACACACACACACACACACACACACACACACACACACACACACACGTACATCTTTCCCAGTTTCTCATCTTCAGTTATGTGTCCTCTCTCTCTCTCTCTCTCTCTCTCTCTCTCTCTCTCTCTCTCTCTCTCTCTCTCTTCTCTTTTTTACATCATCTCTTAATCATAAAAAATTAAGGGAACGTCTCTACTTTGTCCAAAACTAAGGCCAAACTTTGTAAACCAAGTCCCAAGACACTGAGTCCACCTTTTCTCTCTCCATCTCTGAGTTATCAAGGAAGAGACAGTGATAAAACAGAATGAAAGAAAGTGTAGAATAATAGAGATAATCACAGACACATATATAAACGAAGAGAGAGAGAGAGTTCAGCCTCTATTTTATGACACACTTTTATCACGTTCTCTGTCTCCTTATCCTCAGCTGAAGGGTTTATCAGCGTCTCATATTTTCCACACCTTTCTTAATTATCTTTCTCCCTTTCTCTCGTGTGTGTGTATGTGTGTGTGTGTGTATGTATGTGTGTGTGTGTGTGTGTGTGCGTGTGTGTGTGTGTGTGTGTGTTGAGTTAAATAAAGATAAACACAAATAAAGTCAGAAAAGAACAACCATATTTACATACTAAGTCAATGTAAACTTGTATGACGATTTTTCTGAATAAATCCCTATCTCTCTGTCTATAAATAACACTCAAAGTAAATCTCAAAACTCTATATATAATTCAGATAAAAATACAAACTCAAATATTTACTACAAAATAAAATCAATTAACACTAAAGGGAAATATTCATCATCCAACAAACACTTAGGAATCAGACCCTCCAAAAAACCATATAAAAGTATTCTCAATTAAACGTCAAGAAAAACATTTTAAAGACAAGACTGTGGGTCAAGACGTACACCCCAGACCTTCTCCCTCCCCCTCACCACTACTACCACGAGGTATAAGAACTTCAAGCGCTACCAATCAGGTTTATTCTTAGTCTACCACCATTCTCCCACACCGACCCTCCTACACCCAACAACAACAACCACTCCCCTCCTTCCTCTTCCTCCTCCTACCTCCTCACCTCTCCTCCTCCTCCTCCTCCTCCTACCCCCTGCCTCAGAATCGTCAACCCGGTGAATCTTTGATCTCAACACCGTGTCGCGACCAGGCCGACCAAATCAGTCCATGAGGTCGTACTTACATCCTCTCTCCTATTTCAGTGTTGTCCTGGTGTATACTCCCTGTTCTAGCCTCTGTTTTGGTTGATGTTCAGTGGAAGTCGAATTTTGATGGAGAGGAGGAGGAGGATGAGATCAAATTTTGGGGTAAGGATAATGGAAGTAGAATTTAACCTAACCTAACCTAACCCCCAGGTAGAAATAAAGTGTAAATCAACAGGTGAAAATAAATATCAGTAACTCTAAATACAAAACATTAGGAAAGAAGAAATAACAAAAACAGAGACACATGCGTCTGTTTGTTGCGCCACTACCCTACCGGTATTCAACGTACACCTGGCAGCACTGGAGCCTACACGAGCACACGCAAGATAATTTGGATTTAAGTGAGACCTGTCCCTCGTGTGATTAACTAAGCCAAGAGTTCATTACCTGCATTGCTGTGTACCTCAACTAAACTCTAAGTAAGATAACTAGTGTGTAATAACTTAATCTCGTGAGTAAGATAATCCCTTGATGGATATACCTTAAGTTCCTGAGTAAGAAAACCGTAACGTTATAACTTAAAAATATTCCTCTGATAATATCTTTACCTTCACTAAATTCTTCTGTATCACCCCTGAGTACTATTAGATAATAAGTTATTATTACAGTATATTATAAACACGAAGAAAATAACACAATTCCATGGAGTACAATAACTTTGGCTAAATAATACGATATTCTTAACCTTCAAAATTAAACGTTGAATAAAATGACTTGGACAAAACAATAGCGGCATTTTCAACCTTCCAAAATAAAATACAAACATTTTAAACAATTATAAACACAACCCACACAAAAAAAATGTATGCAACCACCAGGAGGGAAACAAACAATACGAGAGTAAACACAGCATAATACAATACCTACAACAATCAAAAGAGAAAAATAACAACAATAAATACGATAAAACGAGAACAAACACAACATTACACGATATCTACCATCAAAATATAACCAAAAACACAAACAAAACACAAGGTCATAGTGAAGGGTCCAACCATTCACCAGGACCGCGGGTTGATTTGTATTCAGTTGTGGGAAACCGGGTGAAGATATTAAGACATTCCAACACCTGGCCGGGTCGGTGGCAGGATGACGGAGATAGTGGATGGTGGAGAAGAGCGGTTCAGATCCCCTTGTGGAGTATCCCATCTCTCTCCCCGACACCCTGGGTCATTTAGCAATAGCCTACACTCTCACCGGTACGATATAACCTACAATATCCCTCCACATGCGATAGTTTCATACTTTAAGGTCAAGGATACGATACTTTATTCTTACGATAATTTCTCACTTTATAAACTGATAGGAACGCTAACTTAACGATCCATATGACAGTTTCTAACACAATAAACTTATGGGTACAATAACTGATCAATATTATTGGAAAAAAATCCCATCTAGGTTGAGAGTTATGGACATCACGGAGAGAGATACTCATCTGTAATGGTCCTAAACTCTCTTCGTGACACAAAAAAGTAAAATATGTGTGTTTAGATTCTTGAAATAGTTCACTAATTAGGTGCAACTACACACCTCTACCTCATAATGACCATGATACATTCCTGCCGTACTTCATAACCACACACACACACAGTACAATAACTTACTGACTCTGTACGATATTTTATGTGTCTAAGGCGATGACTTAATG